AAGCGAGGGGCCCACCAGGCATTTGCCCGGTGAGCCCGACCTGCCAGTCCGCCCCTGGAACTTACAGTATATATTGAATTGGGTAATTACTGAGCTAAGTAGGGTTTTATTGGGCACACCATACTGTGTTTTGATACTGTTTTAATGAAGTACTGCAATTATAATAGTTTTAATGAGTTTATGAAAAATCTATTTATTACTTGAAACATTGCATTAAGTAATGAAGACAAGCTGACAGCTTATTGCCCCTTCATAGCAACTTTATTTTATTTAAAATAACTCTCTTACAGTGTATATTGAATTGGGTAATGACTGAGCTAAGTAGGGTTTTATTGGGCATACCATACTGTTTATGGTACATTTCTGGTCTAATGAAGTAATTATAATAGTTTTAATGAATTTATACTTAGAATTCCTTTAGTTAAAGCAGTAGTTTATAAAGCAAAATCGTTGTCAGGATTTCCTTTTCATTTTTACCAAAATTTCATGTGTGTATGACTGCATGTCACTAAGTTAAGGAGGTTTCATACATTTTTATGAAAAATCTATTGATCACTTGAAACATTGCATTAAGCAATGCAGAGAAGCTGACAGCTTATTGCCCCTTTATAGCAACTTTATTTTATTTAAAATAACTCTCTTACAGTATATATTGAATTGGGTAATTACTGAGCTAAGTAGGGTTTACTGTGCGAGAATCTATGCAGTTAGGTTCCTTAAAGAAAACTCGAAGTTGTGAAACGTGCATTATAATTACAAAAAGGAACACCTTAGTTAGGTTACCAAAAGGAACATACTGCACATATAGGTTACCAAAAGGAACATTAGGTTACCAAAATGGACATTAGGTTACGAAAAGGAACATATGGGTTACCAAAAGGAACTTTGGGTTACCAAAAGGACCATACATTGTAGGTTACGAAAAGGAACATTTAGGTTACGAAACGGAACAGCTCAGTTACAAAAAGGATCACTTAAGTTACCAAAAGGAACATTAGATCCTTATTGTAACTTGATGCTTACACAAAGGAACATATAGGTTACGAAAAGGAACATTTAGGTTACGAAAAGAAACTGCTCAGTTACAAAAAGGATCACTTAAGTTACCAAAAGGAGCATTAGATCCTTATTGTAACTTGATGCTTACACAACCAACCATTTAAATTCTTAAAGAGACCTTCTGGTAACTTGGTTTTCAAAGAGCGAACGTTTCTTTTAAATAAATGACACAATTTCTATATGTTGTGAACAGCTTCGCTACACCACAAATTCTATCATATTAAAGCAAAAACACTTTTGACTTACTTGTTTTGATACTGTTTTAATGTAGTACTTCAATTATAATAGTTTTAATGAATTTATGCTTAGAATTCCTTTAGTTACAATGGTAGTTTGCATGGCAAAATAATTGTCTGGATTCCCTTTTCGTTTGACCAAAATTTCATGTGTGTATGACTGCATGTCGCTAAGTTAAGGGGGTATTCTACCCTTTTATGAAAATCTATTTATTACAGTAGTTGAAACATTGCATTATGGTAGTCAATGAAGACAATCTGAGAGCTTTTTCCCTGTTTATAGCAACTTTGTTTTATTTAAAATAACTTTCATTGTGCATATTTTACTGTCTATTGTATTTCTGGTCTAGTGAATTGAAGTAATTATAATAGTTTTAATGAATTTATGCTTAGAATCATTTAGTTACAACAGTAGTTTGCATAGAAAAATATTGCAAGCATTGCATTAATTACGCAATGAAGACTAGCTTACAGTAATTACAGCTTGTTCGCCATCATAGCAACTTTATTTTATTTATAAGAAATATTGCGTGAGAGACAATTTCTAACAATCGAATAAAATAATATTAATAGTGTTTATTCGCTGTTTTTATAGATCCAAATCATGGAGGAAGCTTCTTCTGAGCAAGTCAGAATTGTAGAATTGGATACCGGTACTTCAGAGGGAGAAGTAGTCGAACAAGTCGATGGAACAGAAAAGGTGGAACCTACTGTTGCTGCCGAGGAAAAGGGTAAAGTACGCAGCAGAGCAAAGCACAAGTGTCCATTTACATCTTGTAACAAAGAAGTTGTGCACTTGCCTCGTCATATGAGGCAGGTGCATAACTGGTCTAGAGACGGGGCAAGCGGAGTGCTGGCAGCTTTCGACATTCGAAAGCCAAGGAGTCCTAGGAAATTGAAAGAAGGAAAAAAATCGAGAGTGTACAAAAGAAGAATGTGTCCTGTGGTGAATTGTAATTCGGTGGTAAAAAAAAATTCACAATCACCTGACGGATGTGCATAAACTTACTCGGAAGTCTAAGATATATTGGCGTTGTGTTAAATCAGCTGTCGTATATGAACCCCAAGTTATTTTAACTGAAAGTTCTGATCATGAATCTGAATCTGATGACGAGTCTGACAATGAATCTCTTAAAAAAAGCAGTAAAGCTTCGAGCGCGCCGAAAAGCACTACCCACTACAAAAAAGTTTATTGTAGTGACGAGTCCTCTGGTGATGAAGATGAACATCCAAGCTTTGATGGCCCAAGTCAAGATGAAGAATTTTCGGAAAATTCGGATGGACATGGTGGACTAAGTGATGATGAATTCAAAGATGGTAACACTGAATCTGTTTCTTTTAATCTTGTTAAAAAAATTTGAACAATGGTTAAAAGAACCCGATGGTGGCAGGAAGGATAGTAAATGTGCTACACAATGCGTGCGTCAAGTCCAACTAATACTTGGTTACATCAACCCTGATAATCTGTTGATAAAGAATATATTGTCGAAAAATACTTTGAGGGAGAAATGGCTTACAAAAGTTGAAAAGGAAAAGAAGCCAGGAACTGTCAAATCGTATCTTGGAGCCCTCAATCAGTTTTATATGTTTTTAAAAGAAGAATGCACTGATATACTTGGAAGTCTGGAAGTATCCGTGCCAGATTTAACAGCTCTCTCAGACCAAGTGAAGTTGTGGGCCAGGTCGTATAGAAAACTCACCCAGGATCGCTTCTGGGAGAAACGAATGGAGGACATGTCTAATATGAAAAAGCCTCAAGATGTTAAGAAATTCGACACTTCCGAAGTAGTACGGAATGCCGTGAAAATTCTTGGCGAGTTCCAGAATGCTGGACAGGATGAAATTTTATCTCAAACAGAGTATACAGCAGTGCGTGACTACCTTATGACGGAAATATGTATAGATAATGGTAGTAGGTCTGGTCCTATAGCAAACATGACACTTGAAGAATTTAATAATGCAACTAAAGAGGAAGATTGCCATGTTGTCCGTGTTAAAAAACACAAGACGTTTACGACACATGGTCCTGTAAACATTGTCTTGTCGTCTTCGCTTTATGGGTACATGTTAATTTTCATCACCAAGTTTCGAAACCAACTTGCTGACGCAGACACGAGTGAGAAATCCACTGTTTTTTTAAGTTGGAAGGGGAGTGCTTTGGATTCATCCGCAGTTGGTGCCCAAATTAGTTCATGCTGGGGCAAGGTGTTCGGCAAGGAAGCTGCAGTTGGAGGTGCAACTTCCATAAGGAAAGCCGTTGTTTCCGCAGTTCACGAGAACAACGAGAGTATGCGTGGTGACCTTGCTAATTTGATGGTACATAACAAAAGCACGGCAGATCGATATTACTTGCTGCAGGATAAAGGAAAATCTGCCGCGAGGACATCATGGGAAGTGTCAAGAATAATGCGAGATACCTCAAAGAGTGAATTGGAGAAGAACGAAGGGAATACCGACCGGCCTTTAATGGGTGAAACCCCAGATATATTCACTTCTTATAGACATGCGTGGCAAGCAGAAGAGGTATCGGCAATCGAGTCTTTGTTTTCAAAAAACATTGAAGAACAAAGTGTAACTTTGCCTGAAGTCAAAGATTTAGTCAAGAATCACCCAGTTTTGGGGGAAATATCAAGCAAGAAAATCATTGATGAAGTAAGGTCTATGTTTGGAAAGGATAGTGGCGAAGATCATCCTGACCCACCACAAGAAAATGAATCTAGAGAAGAAAAATTGAAAAGAATAGGCATAGAAATTGGTGCTGGTAAGTTAAGTTCTCCTTGCAATTTTCTCAAGTGCCAGTCAGGCAATCTACAGTAAATTAAAACATGGACATTATTGTCTACAGGCTGATTTCCAGTCACGCGTTTTGCATCCGTTTTTTTACGTACTGTATGTATACTTACGTTTACTTATGTGTTCAACTGGTCCGTTTCCGTGTGCTTAGCATCCGTACGTAAATGTAAGTATACCTACGTAAAAAAACGGATGCAAAACGCTTGACTGGAAATCAGCCTTAGAGTAAAGTTAGTAGGTTTGCATGGCGATAAATATAATTCAATTGTCTTCTGCAGGTGTTTTGAAAAACAAAACACGTCGTCTTACACCACGTTTAATTACTTGACAAAGCGTCATCTGTATTAATCTCGAACTTTCAACTTTACATATTCTGTATTTTGTTTCAAAATAATTTTGCCAAAGGCTTGTACTGTATACTGTACAGTAACTACAAAATTACACGAGACCCCAAAATATTATATTGTGGTATGTTATTTACAAATAAAATATTATTATTTGCGCTGATAACAGTTCGGGGTTATTAAGGATAAAATGCTTTGTCAAATACTGTAAACGAATGTAATTAATCCACTTGTACTTGCATGTAGACGTCATTTCAGTCGCGTAGATTGAAAAATTTTGAAACTTGAAACCGAAACTTGAAACAACCGAAACGAGGCCGATTATTTGAGAGCAGTTATAATGAAGTACAGTCTGACAATACTCTTCATTTTTGTATGATTTTCAGATTTACGAGAATTATGTGAAAACCTTTCAGAAAACCAAGATGACATTCAAAGCATACAAAGCAGTGAAAAAGCATCTGTTGTGCCTCCAACATCTCGTGGGTCGGGGAATTCTACCAAACTGCTTGATGGAGACGAAAATGGCGAATTTCAGAAGCTTTTCAAAGGATTTAATTCAGTCTAAAAAGAAAATTTGTACGAAACTAATGAGATCAAGATTAGAAGGACACAAAACATTATCGCACCTTTCAGAAACATTAAGTGGTCGTCAGCTCGGTGACAAAATTCGGACTGAAAGACGAATTTGGTTGAAAAACAAAGGAAAAGGGAAGAAATAAAACAAAACATTACGTTACAGCAAGTTGTGCACGGTATAACGATCTATTTGGGTTCATTATTTCTGGTTAAATGCACTATACACTGTCACTGTTAGTATAATTTCAGTTTTGAAAAGGGGCTTTTGAGCATTATGAATGGCTGCCTCCGCAGTAACTTTATATAATAACTACAGTGAAACACACGCAATTTGATTTGTGCAGGATCAGGCTATCCTGCACGAGGAATTGAAATGCCTTCTCGGGATTCTCAAAATGTCATTGTTTCACTGTAGTTATTTTATAAAACAATTACCAAATGGTTTTCCAAGAAGGATAGCATGATCCATGCACTTGGGATATTTCTCGACTTTCGGAAAGCGTAAAAATACACTCGCATGCGGCTCAACTCGCGAGTATTTTTACGGTTTCCAAAAGTCTCGCGACATCCCTCGTGTATGGATAACGCAATTCTGCACGGAAAATCATTCGGTATTCCTTTAGTAATAGTTGTATTCATAAATAAGCCTTTTTCAATACTGAAATTATACCAAAACAATTGGTCACCTCGGGCTCGGTGCTTACAAACAAGCCAATATTCTCTTCGCCTTCGGCACAATGAATATAGTCTTGTAAATTGTAATCACCTCGTCTTCGACGACTAATTTTTAAATACAAGTTCAAATAAAAAGGTATTAAAGTTAGGGTTAAGGGGGAACATACACTGAGACGTTCAACGAACGATTGTTGCGTTATTTGGAAAATGCACATGTATTAAATAAGTTAGCTCTATATAATTATATATTCGTGTGCCAGATTACTGAAACTTTCTGTAGCTGCCAAATTAAACGTTTTGCAATCAAAGGAGAAAAACGTAAATATATCCATAAGTAGTTAAGGTGCTAAGTAGGGATATTACAATCGTGTGCGCGACTTTTACAGTACGTATACCGCCCACGAAAATTAAATTCAGTACTTTTCTACACAATTTACATTTTCCTTTAAGTGTATCTGCTGGCAGCTATTTGAATTCTAGTTTTGAACAATGTGAATGAATCTGGCATTCGATATCATAAAACTTGTAAATGTTGTTGTTTGAAATTGCACTTTGTGTTTGAATGGTTATCAAGTGTCTTGTGTTTTTATCCATTACTTTGCGGTTACCTTACCGGGCTTACCTATAGCCTCGCTTTGACTCAAAAACCTGCCATATCTTCGACGTTTATCGATTAATGGTGTTTAATTGAACAAACTGAAAAGAAAAAAATCCCAATAACTGTGCTTTCTATTACAATTAATTCCAACTCAGGATAACATACTGTACATTTAAGATAAAATTTAAAACAACGACTGTAAAAACGACTGTTTTTATCCAATAATACACAGTACAATTAATCCAAACTGGTCATTTTTGTTATCTCAAAATATATTTCTTCGATTTTAAAGTAAAAAACGAGAAGATTCGAATGCTGTTCGTGGTAATTATGTCATAATGCCAAATATTGTTACTTTGTATAATATAATATATATATAATTCAGATAAATAATAAATGATTGTTCGGTTTTAATTTTGTTGAGGAGAAAAATTCAAAATTTTGCTTGTAAAAGAAATATTTGATTTAAACTGTAATGAAAATCTAGCCTCAAAACCGAAGTTGTAGAAAAGCTTTGCTAGCAAACAAACAATATAATTGCCACAAGAAACACTTATTACGAGAATCTATGCAGTTAGGTTCCTCGAGTTAGAAAACTCGAAGTTGTCAAAAGTGCATTATAATTACAAAAGGAACACCTTAGTTACCAAAAGGAACATGCATATAGGTTACGAAAAGGAACTTATGGGTTACCAAAAATAACATTAGGTTACCAAAAGGGACATATAGGTTACGAAAAGGAACATATGGGTTACGAAAAGGAACATTAGGTTACGAAAAGGAACATATAGGTTACGAAAAGGAACATTTAGGTTACGAAAAGGGGCAGCTCAGTTACAAAAAGGATCACTTAAGTTACCAAAAGGAACATTAGATCCTTATTGTAACTTGATGGTTACACAAAGGAACACTCTAAGTTACAGTAAGGATCGTCAATCTCTCAATGTTGGAAACATGTGAACCAATGTTGGTAATCAATATACCAAAGTTGGATACATGTTAACCAATGTTCGTAATCAATAATATACCATTGTTGGAAACATGTGAACCAATGTTGGAAATCAATAATATACCAAAGTTGGAAACATGTTAACCAATGTTGGTAATCAATAATATACCAATGTTGGAAACATGTGAACCAATGTAGGTAATCAATAATATACCAAAGTTGGAAACATGTGAACCAGGGGCGTAGGAAGCACCTGGAGTTTGGGGGCCACCGGCTTGTAGGGGCACATTACTATCGGAAAGGGCACCTAAAAAATTTTTCCCGGAAATGTTGTCGACCGGGGGAGGAGAGAAATTTCTCCTGAGGAAAATTTTCCGTCGTATCATACCGAAATTTATGTTTGTGACCTAATTTTTAAAAAAAATTTGTAAATTTCCACACAAAAACGGCACCTATTGTTTTAATTTAGTATTTACAGCGACATTAGCTTCTACAAAAGGGGCACTTTTCCTCACAAAAAAGGGCACTTTTCAACACAAAAAGGGCACTTTTTATCACAAAAAAGGGCACTTTTAGTCCTTTAAAAAAATTTGGGGGGGGCACGTGCCCCCCGTGCCCCCCCCGCTTCCTACGCCCCTGATGTGAACCAATGTTGGTAATCAATAATATACCAAAGTTGGAAACATGTTAACCAATATTGGTAATCAATAATATACCAATGTTGGAAACATGTGAACCAATGTAGGTAATCAATAATATACCAAAGTTGGAAACATGTGAACCAATGTTGGTAATCAATAATGTACCAAATTTGGAAACATGTTAACCAATGTTGGTAATTAATAATATACCAATGTTGGTAATTAATTGAATATACCAACGTTGGAGTATATAACCATTTCCCAATGTTGGAAGCTTAATGAATGTTTCCAATAATATACCAATGATACTACAGTGATTTCCCATTGATATTACAATGTTGGAAAATATAATTTTTTCCTGTGGTATATGTTGAGCTTGTATATCCTTAGGTCACTTAAGGATTGGTTTACAAACAAAGATTTATCCTGTACGATTTGTATTTTGGCATATGTTAATTGCTGTCAACACCACAATTCTGCTTTATTTAGTTTGTGGTGAAATTTGAAATACAGTCATTTTACGCGTGCTTATTCGATTACTTAACATGCAAATCGTACACGATAAATCATTGTGTGTTAACTGACATTGATTCTCAGACAAATTGAAAACGCTGAGAAGTGTTAAGGTGCATGTGCACACAGCCTGATTAACAATATATACAGTAAAAGGCTGTTTTCAGTTCAAGTGTATCGTAAATTTACACTTAGCCTAATTTATGGTCTCGCTATATCGGTATCTCATTGCTATGCACAAAATAAAGATAAAACTTTTTTAAGCAATGGATACCACTATGGCTGGCTATGATATGGTTGAAATAGAATGTTCAGCTATAAATAATGAATGTTTATTCTTAACCACATGCAGTTAGTTATGGCCAATGTCAGCCATTTGGAAAGACACAAGTCATGATCGTATTTACGTGTTACCATCATTCAAATAAGTGGCTAAAGAGCAACTTTATCAACTGCATAAAAACCCTGTTTTCAAGGGGCATGACAAACAAAACATTCTCTTTAACCTTTTCATAACCTGCAACAAATTTTTGGGCTAAACATTGGATGGGTATGAACGAAGATGCACCAAGGCTCTCAACAAAGTTCGCACACCATATCTCTGGCGTAACACCGTCATTGCCACAATGAAACTGCTCAGGGTGATACTGAAACCAGTGCATGTATGCAGAACAGATAGAGGTTGCCACGATAGCTAATGCACTGTCGAATGAAATATTCTATCATGCCTGGCCTGTGATAAATGGGCTTCCAAATCGACACTACCATCATGTCGTCCAGCCAACTTTGCCACAATGTACACAACACAATTGAGATGCGAAAAACTAGAACCATAACATTCACCTGCAAACGCCACTGAAGCGTACTTGTCGTACATGAGAGGTATACTTGATAATGGTATTTATTTATTTATTTAGCTTTGCCTTGACAAAAAATGTACACAATACAAGTACAACAATTCATATACACGAGACATAACAAGAGGCGGGGACACCACAACAGTTTACACCAATTACTGTGGGCCCTTTAGTTAAAATTATTGACAAATTACAGATGAAAAAAAAAACACTAATTAGTCTAGTAGCAACAGGGATCAGCATCGATTAGATTGCGCGATGTGTTGCACTTCAGGCAAACAGTTTTCCATGTTCGAGCATCATCCACGTCGTAACAAGATACAAGGGCATTACGGTAGTATGCTAAAAGTGACTTTTTAAATAACGTTAGAAATGAATGATCTAGTCTTAAGTGTTCGGGTAAGGAGTTCCAGGTTCTAGTTGCTCTAATAAAAAATGACTGTTGATAGGTGGCTGTCTTACATCTACGAGGACGGTACAAGATAACACTGTTATTTGAAGATGATCGAGTAGACCTTGAGGGAATAGATCATTTTGGCAAGATTTCCTTCGGAACAGTTATAATACCATTTATGGCCTTAAAAAAGAACATCAAGTCAAGATACTCATGCCAATAAGAGACTGGTAACAGATTTATAGATATCAGTCTGTCTTTGTAGGATTCTGTACATGTGAAGGGCAGCTTAAGGATAAATTTTGAAGCTCGGCGTTGAACACGCTCTGTCTTTCTGACTAGTTCAATTGACCGCGGTGCAT